CCCTCGATATAGTGGATTTTTGAGAATTTTTTGCTAATAGATTTTTTTGATACACTATAAAGAGAGTCACTGTGTATATGTTATTGGGTCATATTATACAAGTTTGATGACCCTGATTGTGATTATGTCATTATTTGTGGAGGCAAATAACCAGAATGTATGCTATCGGATATATTGCAAACATGTTATCGAATATGTAATTGCTATCGATTATATACTATCATGTACACGTAATTTGCCGAATCTACTGTCCATTGCATATCTTTAATTCAGTACCTGTCATTAAATGTCAGTATTAGTATAATCTTTTAGCATGAAACTCGTACTAATTTCTGCACATACTGACTTGTAGCCATCCATAAACAGTCAGTTTCTTATAGTATTCATCGTTATCATCAATTTTACTTTGTTGACATACTGTTCCTTCTTGCAGGAGGCAGGTAATCTGAAAGGACCCAGCCCTCCAGAAGTTTCACCATAATAATAAATTATTTCGAATTTATTTGGCATTTTGACCAAAATACCTTTCATGTCGATTTTATGTCTGATTTTTGTCCTCAAAAAAGAATCCTTTGTTTTATTTCATGCCTTGCATGTTGGAATAGCTTGGATATCACACCCCTAATATTTGAAAAATTGTTCATAAAAGTAAATAGAATCACTATATAAATCTTTTATTGACTTACCAAGTGGTTTCGATATTTTTTGATGTGAAAACGCTAGAAAACATCGGAACTGTAGTCCTGTCGAGGCAATAGTCACGGGAGAGCGGATAACTACTGTCTCGGTTTGGGATATAGCTATGTCGTCGTAGGAATGAGGCTCACTTCAGCGATAACGAAATCGTAACAAACAGTTAATGACCTTTTAATTAGACTTTGACGTGCTGACGTCTTCGTATACGGATCGCACACACTAATCCTAGATAGTTAATTATTTTCGAGAAACGAATTACTACTCTCTACCGGTGGATTAATTCGGTAGTCTGTAGTTTGGGGTCTTGAGAAGAAAGGAGAAATATCGTATTGCCACTCGATCGGTCACGGGACAAGTATTATGACCGATCTTGCCGTTATACAAAAAATCACATGATTCTGTGGGAATTTCTTTCATTTTATTAAACTACCCGAAAATAAGCAACACTATACAAAAAGTGTTGCTTATTTTCGGAAGAATTCGGTAATTGTTCAAAAATCATAATCATACGATGCGACCAAAAATCGTATGATCCTCATCTGCTACAGCCAATCACTATTCTAAATTATCATCACGTGACCCACCTTCGGTATAAGCATGTGTAAAAATCCTGCATCGAACTTCAGTAACGGTATAAAGAGATTTTACTACTTAAATTCGTTATAACGAGGGAATTTTACTATTTAGAAACCGGGGGGGGGGGGAGTTGGATAAATTGACATGCTTCACGTGATGAATATATTTTTACTTATTAATTTTCGTCTGCAGGTTGAGAGTTTCCCATTGTCTCTAACTACTGTACTCCACATTTGGGTATATACAACTCCGCTTTATCGGATTCCAACAATATCAACCCGCACCATTATTGTTATACAGATTCAGTAAGAAGCGCGAATATGCATATTAAATGTCTGCTGTCAAGAGATAAGCACACACATGAATATGAGACGGTTCTCTGCCTAGCTTTCGTCATTGAAGAAACTCGAGCTTTCCGCGGCTTGTTTGTTGAACCAGTGTAAAATAATAATAATAATAAGCGATCTTTTAAAAAATTCCTTGTGTGACGTATTCTATGTTAGTGTAACAGCCGTTAAAAGTAACACGGTAGTTATTATTATTATACAATTCTTGGTTCCAAATAGAAATAAGAAGCAACTAATGTGCCCCTAATACCCCCTTTTACGATTTACAGTCTTCTTGAGACTGACCGACGTGGACGAGCCCCACGATATTCTCCATAGCCTGTATAATATTTCGTTGGCCGTCTACCTCACGCTTCTCGCACACCACTGTACGGCTTGATTCTTTCAACATGTCTTCGAATTCCACGGTAACGGTGAAGGCGCTAGACTTCGGAGATGGCAATGAATTTGTCCCTTTAATCATCATTGGCGGAGTTGCGGTTGGAACCATGATAGTGCACGTTATTTTGTTTTTGATATTGAAGAGTATAGTAAGCAAATCCGAATCACAATTTGATCGTGAGGTTGTTTCAAGATGGTAAGGAATGAGAAAAGCTGTGGAGCATGTGATTTGATAGTCCTAATTTTAATATTAAGAGAAAGTAGGCATTAACAGAAGCCGTGTTAGAATATAAAGGATTGAAATAGTTTGTTTGCAAATCATACCAAATTATCTGATCCTATCATTTCCACAAATTCACACAATCAGTGCCAAACCAACCTTTTTCATGTTCCCCACGGTTGCAATTCTGATCTGTCTAGCTCTCGTGACTAATGTCGACGAATCGATTCTCGATCCTATCCGACACACCTTGATCATACTCCTTTTACTTCTCTCCGCATGGACTGCAATTAACTTTGTCAAAGCGTTAACCACCACTATTTCAAATAATAATGATTTCATGAATTCAACAAAGAATCCTAATGCGAAAAAACTTCATACGCAATTGGTGATTATGACGAGGATAGCGTATGGGCTAATTATTGTCATATGTGCAGCGAGTGTGATCTTAACCTTTCCGTCAGCATGGCAGTTTGGTGCAACAGTATTAGCCAGTGCTAGTGTATCGGCTTTGTTCATTGGTATGGCTGCTAAACCGTCAATGGAGGTGAGTTATCTATTGGTGGTCGACTGTGAAATGGCTTCTTTTTTTTTTTTTTTTTTTGGGGGGGGGGGGGGGGGGGGTTTGGGGGGGGGGGGGGGGGGAAACAGAAGAAGAATGTGTGTAAAGTGGTGGTGTGGATGGGTCGTTCTTATTTTTTGGCGGCCGACCGTTTTGT